TGACACATGATAAATATGCCCTCTCACACACATATACACGCCCATACAGACAAGGATATAGAATAGATTTGCATATAAAAAAGAAATGAACACTGAGCATCAAGTGTCTTGGGACTGAAGATATAACTGTGACGCTGACCAACAAGGCTGATGAAGTGCAATTTCTAGGCTTTATATACAACAGGTTCATATTATGAAAAATCAGTAATTTGTAAGAACAGAATGAGGCAGGTGGACATGTTCGGACACTCCTGTAATGTCAGCAATAAGGAAAGTGGGTGAGGGAATCTCAGAAATGAAGCCAAACTGGAATACATGTATAGGAGCAGATGGGTAAAAGAATCAAGCAGTAATACAGAACAGGATGAGAAAGAACAAGTTTACGTCTGTGTGCTGGCGTCAGGAAAGCCTCCTGTTGGTAACTGCTTAAAGAGGAGATGCCAAGAAGAGATAAGTGGACAAAAGCGGACTGTAAGAAATGAAAAGGAACAAAATGTCAGGCACTGGGTAGAGAACACACTTATAAATTCTTGCACAGACACAGAAGGGAAGTCAAAGTTTTGTCATAAGTGCAGGTGGATCTGAGGTCAGAAAGCTAATCACTTGATGTTTATCCCTTTTCAGTCATTGTTGGTAGCTGTAAACGCTCCAGATCCTGAATTTCTGGTAAACAACTTGTAATGCTTGCAGCTGCTCTGAGCAGGAGACTCTGAGAAGTCCCTGATGGCAGGGGCGTGGCTATCCCTACATTAGCTGCCCCTGGACACAACAAAGGGGGCATTCTTGGGGCATTCTGGCATCAAGGATGACCTGTGTCTCTGTGAGTCTTTGTGTGTTTCAATCTCCAGTCCCTTGCGCTGTTCACAAAACTGTATGGTAGCACACAGAGCACAGACAGGTGTCGGTGGCTACAAGTAATGAGATAAAGACCCATTAAAGTTTCTCACATTGTGGCAACCCCCAACCATAAAATTATCTTTGTCATGACTTTGTAACTGTAATTTTGCTGCTATTATGAATCATAAAACATCTGTGTTTTCTGATGGTCTTAGGAGACCTCTGTGAAAGGGTCGTTCGAACTCCCAAAGGGACCATGACTCATATGTAAAGAACTGCAGATACAGGAAATGGTGTGACCAAATGCACTTTCCAACCTATCCTTCTTAGTGTTAGTAATAGAATTAGCAGAAAACCACTGTCTATCAGTCAACACTACAGCTTACCTTTGTGGATTTAAAATCAAAACAGCCATGGCTTTTGTATAATTTTCAATAGCAATCGCTGCAGCTTCTCCGAATAGATGGAAGGAGAGGGAAGAGATGTATCCAAGTGCAGAGAATTATGGTAACTGATTATCTGCCATAAGCGCTAGAGGAAAGGGGAGGTGGTGAAAAGAATGGAGGAGCTTGTGGAATGCAGCTCTCAGAAGGCAAGAGGCAAGTACAGCCAAGGGTACCCGAACAAGATGATGAAGTAACTAGGGGTGACAGTTGGAGGATGTGACAATGATGGTGTGTTACTGGCTAGGAAGGGGACCTTGCTATCGATGAAAAGACAGCGCAGTCACATGCCACCAAGACAAACGAAGTGGGCCTGTGGAGAATCATGTCACTGGGAATGATGACACGGGAACGTGTGGAAGGCAGAGGAAACCAGGATCAAAGTCGAGTGCTAAACCAAGAAGTTGTAGGTAACAGGTAACGAAGCAATGTATCATAAAGTCAGAAGAGATTCACCTGTTGACAGAGCAAAGAGGAGAAATCTCTTGGAAGATAAAACGCTGGGAAGAAATTCTCCCATCCATGAAATGGAAGTGAAAATGGCTGCCAGAGAAAAATCTTTGTCAGAAGCTATGCTTTTCAAGATAAAGTAAGGAAAGGAAAATCTTCCCCCAAAAACTAAAGACACATTGTATTTACAGACTGTAGATCAGCTTTACGTGATTGTGGGAGGGAAGTGCCTACGGTTGTGGATGCAGGCAATTTGGTGCATGTGGGTTTATGGTAACACTGGTAGAAATGGGGTTTTGCACCCCTCCTTGATGTGTAGAAAGCGTCCAAGGCCATGGAGGATTCATAGGTCCTTATACCACAGGGCAGGGAACCCTGACTACTCTTTGGAATGGAGAGGGAAGGGGAAAAGAGTGGGAGGAGGGGGAGAAGGGTGGGAGGAGGGGGAGAAGGGTGGGAGGAGGGGGAGGGAAATGGGAGGCTGGGATGAGGTGGAAACTTGTTTTTTTTTTCTCCTTTTCTCAATAAAAAAAAGAAGATAACTAAAAGTTGTGAGCAATAGCTTCATTGATTAGCATCAGGGGTATAATGTATGTGTCCTCACGTGTACCACTTTGATATAGTCTCTTAGAACTAGTGCCAAGGGAGGGTAACGCATTGTGACTGCTGCTTTTGGATAACTTGCTACAGAATAGAAAGAAGTAATAATTAGAAAAAGTCTCTCTCCTTTCTTCTTCCAGCACTAAGGTGGTTGAAGCAATCAACCTACTTTTTGATTCTGTAAAGAGTTGTAGCCAAAAGGTTTTGTGAAATGTTTTGGAGCTTACAGGCCAAAGAGGTTCCATAAAGCCTCAGTTATGATCTAATGCAACTTGTCATAATAACTGATTCCCTGGGGTTTCTGATAAACAAGCTTAGTCTCTATTAGGACAATTTATCAGAAGACTAAAAGATGTTTACTGAGGATAAAACAGACTGGAACTGGTAATTAATCCTTCCTCCCTGCTCGGTGCTGATTAGGTCCCCAGGAGGCTGTTACAAACTTGAACACCAGCCGTTCCAAACAGATTTTGAAACTTTGCAAGAAGCCCAAATAAGATCAAGGGAAATAATTCAAGAAATTACCATTTTTATAAGAATAAATATAAGCGTGATTACTTTGGAGAGCTTGAGGGATTAAAATTTTTGCTTAAATTTTGCACTATGACAAGTATCTTGTTTATTTATTTATTTATTTATTTATTTAATTTTAACAGAGGCTCATGTATCCCAATCAGGCCTTAAATTAATATATCAGAGGATGGCTTTAAATTTTCATTCTTCTTACTCCCCAACTTCTGAGAATATAGGTATCACGGCAGTCTGATTGGGAGGTGCTGGAGTTTGAACCCAGAGTTTTGCAAAGACTAGGCAGGCACTCTTCCAACATAACCCGCTAATCTTGGCTTTTAAATTGTGATAAATGTGATGTGTCTACTACTTTGGTAGATAGTATTCTGAAACTGGGGGGAGACATCATTTAAATACCAGTTTACCAATGGACGTTATGGGAATATTATTTCTGGAACTAATCCTAAAAAATCAGCCAGAACATTGAAGGAAGCTCCATGTCTATCTAATGCTTCCTCTTCTTGTCAATATGCACATGGAACCTACATAATAAGAGAAGTGAAAGAAATATTAAGTATTTCATGGATTCTTGTCAACTTACTATTGTAAAAAACAGAAGAGCACTAAAATCTAGTGATAGGTAAACAGGTTTAAAATAGAACCCAAGGATCTGAGAGCTACCATTGCCTTAATCATCCACTCCCATAGCCATCATATAAGTTCAGCATCATCCAAGACACAGAGTACTGAAACAATGGGAAATACAATTGGTTTTCTCTTTCTTGTGCCATGCATAATGCTGGATATTAGCATCTGACTTTGAATGTCCCTTCCTGTGATTAGTGATAACCATACTGCCTAAAAGGCATTAGAAGAATGAAGAGCTTATAAATTGTCTGACTCAATGAAGGACTTTGCTGCTAAACAGAGCTGGTACATGAACCAAGATTTGGCCTTTCAACCACAATCTAATTTTCCCCACATGAAGGATCAGAAAAAAATGCCCTGCTACAAGATAGCCTCTATTTTTGGGGGTGATCTTCACAGGCTTCCTACCATAGTCATCATTATTATTTCCATTCCAAACAAAGTTGGTCCCCACAAAAGGAATATGCATTAAATTAAACCTGTCAATTCAAAGCAAGTCTGGATGCTGGAAATGACAGATTTGAGACTCTCAACAGGATGGGTGGAGAAAGATGTTTTGAAGGCAGAGAAGTCTGGGGAAGTGGTATAAGGAGAAGAGTTAGATCCTGAGAATAGACCCTAATATTACACATAAGTTTGCCCAGAGCTCAACTGGCTTTCAGAATCTAATACAGCTATTAGTTTGGTCATGTACGAAAGATTCTTGATGCACAAGAGTTGGGCTTCTAGAAGTCCATAAAATATAACATTATAGAAGATGCTACTGTTCTCTAGGACTTCTATAGTTTGGAATGTAAGGCATGGAAAATTAACATTCTTTTTTTTTTATTCTCCTGTAATGAAACTCAACTTTATAAACTATTTCCTATAACAAAAATTTAAAGCATTTTTTTTATTTGGAGATTTTTTTCTTATGTAATTTGATTTGTTTGTCTCTGTTAGATAAAAGAGGAAAGGGAGACTTTCTAGAACACTCAGATCATATTTGTGCATTATTTCTAGAAATAAGGCTTTTAAAATTCTTCATACAAGAGGTTCATTGTTCACTGTTATCAAAGCAGTCTAGGTAATCAGAATAATTTTGGATATCTTTTCTTCAACAAAGTAAAATGGGTAAGGCTTTTGCAACATTTGAGATTTCAGTTAACAGTGAAAAGTGAAGAATGTAATTCAAGACAGGTAAAGTGTGGGGAAAATATTTATTAGCCTATTTACTTAAGAATCCTTCATCTATAATAACCTTGTGCTCATTCCCTTCCTTTCAAAGTTGGTGAATTTCTTATAGATGAGATGTACTAAAACTAACAATTTTCTACTTAAATATTTTTAGGTGACGTGTTGGCAATGATAACTCTAATTAACACCATTGAAAGCTTTGTGTACTGTGTAATTGGGATTACGCAGCTTAGCTTGTGTGACTATAAAATAATGTGTGGTTTTTAAAGACAGAGAAGCCTTCTCCAGGTTAGATTTTCCAAACAGAAGGTTGAGTGTTATAAATTCCACCTCCCACAGACCAGAATTCATATCCATTGGTCAGGGGCAAATACCAAGAGCTCTGCATCCACAGCCATTTCGTGCTACTTCATCAACTCGGAGCCAAAGGTAAGATTTTACACTTGTTTTCTTCTTTTTCTCCCTAGTATAACAACCTGTAAAAAAGTAATTCAACTTTCTTTAAGATCTGCTGCTGGTCTTTAATCCAGTGGGTTTGCCTTCATTTTACTGATGACTGTACACTCATATTTTGCTTGGAAAATCCCAACTTGTGGATTAGCTTAGGAATTAATAACTGGGCAAAATAGTTAATCTTAATAGTTATAACAGATGTGAATAGAATTATAGTGGTTTCCAATATATGCTTTAAATCAATAGCTCTGGCACTGGCCACAGCCTTTGGCAGTAGAGATAGACAATATTGATTGATATTGACTGAAATATTATGTAGAGGTGGGAGTAGTGATGTTTCAGGTGGTTAAAATGTACTAATAACTATATGGCACTTTCATTTTAGCAAGTCTTTTTAGATAAATATTTAAAATTTAAAGTAAGCTTATAGTTTTAGACCATTTTAATATGAACAGCAAACTGAAAAAAATTAACTAACAACTGCATTAAATACACTTATAAATTTAAAGACACTTATAACTACTTGAAGGAAGATAAATATTTGCAACAAAATGCGCATTGACACGCTCATAAATTTTATTTCACACAAGCTGCTTGTCCTTGTCGTGGTGACTTTACTAGGAAAGCCAAATGCTAGCAAACCCTTATACGCAGACATTTGTGATTACAGAGAGAATAAGAAATGAGACACAGGATTAAAAAGTGCATGTTTTCTTTAAATGATGGAATTTGCTAGAAATATACAAGGGAACTTAATTTTCAGCTTCAGTTCCGATGACTGTGGGAGCATGAATTGTAGCGCATTGGTGAACCATGCTGCCCTTCTAAGCCAGAGCACTGGTCACTTCTTCTAACAATTCTAAATCCACAGCCTACAAAGCTATTTCCAAAGTGAACTGAGATAGAGCCAAGTTCATCAAGTGTGGAAAAACAGAAGTATTTGAATTAGGCAGATGAGAGAATAGAAAAGAACCCTTTGTCCTGTTCTGATTGTCAGGGAATCCCCAGTCCCTCTGTTTTCATCAGCTTCATAAAGGTTTGTTTCAAGTAACCAAAGCTACCTTTAAGTAGAAAAGTAATATATCCCTTCCCTGTGTGTTCAGAGGCATTAAAACCACAGATCAGATCCTGTCCTTAAACTCAAAAAAGAAGTCCAACATATAAAATATTTTCATATTACACATTAAATAAGAGACTATACTATTTTGCACGGTGAGCAATTGATTATTAACTAATATTCTTGATATTGCCAATTAAACACTTAAAATTAAGCATGAGATTTTTGTTCTTCAACTAAACTCTAGTCAGAGGCATACATACAAAACTAAAATTGTGAGATGCTAAGGCTAGGACTGTGTCTGAACTGCTGCAAACCTTTATGCTAGAAAAGAAAACAAATTATGTTTCCTAACAATTGCAGAGCAAAAGATTGCACCCTTACTATGCGTGTGCAAATACCTCTTAATCATGCAAATACTGCCTTTTGCATGTATAGCCTTGTTGCTTTTTTAGTCTAAGTATCAGTTATCCATAATTTAAACAAAATTTTAAGGAATAAAAAGCAATTTTTATTCCCTTTATACCTGTTAAAATGTTAGAAAAAAATAATAATGAGTTATTATCAACTATATATTTGCACAATTTTATATTCTATGGTTTGGAAAGCTTGGAAGATGAAAATGCTAGCAAGAAGTGTCCTGGTACTTGTCATCTTTGATGCTGCATTGACTGCCCCGACTACAGAGCTCTTTAACTATGACTCAGAAGTCTACGATGCCATTTTGGAAGATGTGGAACCCTTTTATAACTATGAACAGATACCTATCAACCAAGTACAGGTAATGTCTTCCACTCTTGAGGCTTTTAAAAGAATTGAATGGTGACTGATAAGAACTTATTTCTTTTTTGCAAATAATTTTGCTTACATAAAAGCAAAGGTTGGATCTCAATTTCCTATAAACATTTGGCTACAACATATGCCAACATTTTTTAAATGTGAATGCTGAGACAGTCTTTTGGTTCCCAATAGGAAAAACAAAAACAATAGCATTTTATTGTGTGTGTGCGCGTGCTCACACACACACACGTTCTTGTGCACATGTTTGTATACCAGGATACACATGGAAATGAAAGTAAAATTTTGAAGAAGTTGGCTGTCTACTTCCACCATTTGGATTCAGGAGACCAACCTCAAATGCCTTTATCCATTAACACATCTCACTAGCCTGAAAAAGGCAACAATATCTTCTTTTAAGTCACAACATGTACATTTTTAAAAAGCAAGGAAGAGTTAAAACATTCACTATGCAATGCTGAGAAAACATAAAGAAAAACATGTGAGATTAGAACAGACAAGAAGAAAAAGGAAAGCAGGCAGAGAAAGCACACTGATTTAAAATTGTGCTGTGTACCAGAAGGAATGTGCATTTTTGAATGGCTGGTTTTTCTCCCTACCAGTAAAGGAGGCATTGGCAAGGTTACAGCCCATTACATAAATTTGATATGGCATGTTTCTAATTAAATGCTGGTCTTCTTACACTTGCACATAACTAAAGGATACAAGCTAATTCTCATGAGTCAGAAGCAAGCAGACCTTGAAGCATGATTTATATACAACATTGGCAAAAGTGAGATATTAATAAATAAGGGGGAAAATCATATTTTTCTTTAAATGATCATTGCAAATTCTGTACCCTCTTTCAAGTGTAAAGCTTAGAATTACCGTTTTTATGGCCTTGACTACAAAATATCTAGACAAGATGATATATTAAACTTGTATGAAATATACGATGTCAAAATCGATACCATTCATGTTGCCTTATGAAATAAGAATCCAATTTCTTAACAAAATAATTTCCCCACTTTTCTCCTTCACTCTTAGCCTCTTTCTTCTTATTTTATCTTATTTTCTTCTGTTTTTAACAAAGTCTCTTAGTAGTTATCTGTCAAGACAAATACTTTAGTTCAGACTTATTTTATTTAATACACATTTAAAAAGGAAAATTATTCAGGGATTAAACATTTAATGTTTATCACCAAAGAATTCTGTTTAAGCATGTTTAAGGAGTGGGCTAAGGGTTTTGTTCTTTTCCTTTAGAAGAACCCAATGAACAGTTTACAAAATACTGATTAATTCTGAGTCCTTTCCAGGGAAGATTGTGAAGGAAATATCATCATCTGCATAAAATGAAAGCCCACTCATCTCTGTTAGAATCCTGCACATTGCCCCAACTGTCCCGGATATTCGTGGAAATAAATGGAATTCCTCCTGTGATAGAGCAATTTGAGTGTGTGTCTGTATAAAAAAGATTTGGTATACAGTCTTCTCTCAGGGTTTGCATGTTCTAAACCAGTGTTTCTCAAGGTCTCAATCCCTTTGAGGGTCACATATCAAATATCCCGCATATCAAATATTTGTATCGTGATTCATAACATTAGTAAAATTATAGATATGAAGGAGAAGCAAAATAATTTCATAGCTGGGGCACCACAGCCTGAGGAACTGTATTAAAGATCACAGCATCAGGGAGGTTGAGGACCACTGTTCTAAATGAACGTACTCCTATGTTCCTCCATGTGATACCTGTCTCAGCTCTTGCCTCCTGCTAACATCTTTTCTTCATGACAGAATTTTGTTTTAAGGCATAGCTCATGCTCACTTGATTCCTTGAACAACTTTTTGAAGATCTGTTACTATTTCCATTGAACAGTTGTTATTATGAAGACAAGACTTTTAAATAACTTGCCTAAGAGTTCATGACAAGGCTGCATATACATACAATACTACTCACAACAGAAAGTAACTTCCATTAGATTATATATTCTTTTCCTTTCTTCCTACACTTTACCACATTATCCTTTTAACTAGATATCGGTCTTTTTTATTTTAAACATAGTTCTTTATTGGTTCGTTGGAAATGTCACATCATAGACCACAATCCCATTGACCTTCTAATCCCTGCATATCTGCCCCACACTCCTTCAGTATGCCTCTCACAAATTAATTAAAAAATAACAATAACGGACAAGAAACCCACCTAGCTCCTTTCTCCATCTTTCCAACACCTCATCCCAGTGGCTGCGGGAGCTGTGGTGTGTCATCATGCAGTACACCCCTTTTGTCCAATCAGTTCCACCCACAAAACAAAATGTTCATTGCATTGAGTCATTGGTCTGGTTCAAGGCCTCTGGTTTCTGGTATGCCATCACTGCTGGCATTGGCCCTGATGGAAACTCCTCTCAGGACTGAATTAAAAATGTTCCATCATCCACACAAGGGCAAGAAAAACATTCATCTATGTTATCCTTAACATGAACTGGAAGTAAGCTTTTAGATAGCTCTGTCTGCAACCTGATTTTTCTACAAAAGAATGGCTTAAGGCATGCCTGGGAAATATGAATTTCTCCCTCTTACCATTAGTGATTGCATTCTCTGTATAGGGATTTAGTTCATATTAAATATATTCTTTTTGTTTTCTGAAAAGGTCATAAATTAGTAGTATTGCTGCACCTAGCCTGTTTGATGTCACAAGGAAAAAGAGAGACAGCACTAATGGGTACTAAAGATTTTAATATTTCACCAAATAGCAGGGCACTGATGGATCAGGGCTGCAGGACAAGGATTCTGGAACCTTTATCCCCCTGACAGCCCCAAAGAGAGGCAAAAGTGGAGTTTATAAGCATAAAAATCACAAATGTTTGTTGCCAAATTATAGTTACAATTTTCATCCATCAGGATTTATAGAGTAGGGGCTCCCTTGAATGTTCTATCATTGTCAATCAACACACAATGCAAGTCTTTCAGTGCAATCAATCAGATTGATTGTTCCTTCTGTTGTTAGGAACAGCCATGGTGAGAGAACTAAAGATGCATAATGACCATTTCTGTGCTTTAGGGAGGAGGTTGGTCAGCCATTGGATAGTTCTCAGCTTCCCCAAGCCTTGGGAACCCGAACTTTACTTCACCCTACAGGTAAAATAGAGTCTGAAGACAAAATGGCAATACTCAGGCCAAGGTGCCTTTTGCCTGCTCCCTTCACAGTATCATTATTATTTATTCCTTAAGTAATAAAATATAAGCATGATTAATCTTTACGTTTTAATACTACTGCCTCATTTGGACCAATTATATAGTGCATGTTAAAGTTTTAAACATGAGAATCACATATGAAATGCATTTCTATTAATCGAAAGATTCTAACTCATCAACCATAGTTAAACATTCTGTTCTAGGTTTGATGAAGAATAAAAGAGAACCTCCCTATTTACTGAGGAGACTCTAGTTAAATCAGGAGGGGAGAATTTTACTGATGAGATTTAAATAGACTGTTCGACTCATTTTCTTTAGTTCAGCATTCTAAACAATATGATTCTTATTTTCAGACGTTTCAAAACTATAAAACTGGAACACCAAGAAATATACAATCATAGTTTCCAACTGGGAAGATATATTAATAATCTTCGTCAATCACTCACTTTAGTTTGGCTTACATTTTAATGAGGTCATACTAATAAACTAATTCTGACTACTCCTGAAAATAAGATATTATGATGTCCATTTAATAATAGCAACTGAGAACCCAAATTTTGCTCTAAGTTACTTGCCCAATAAATTTCAGAGTGAAATTTAAGCTAGATTCTTTTAATGTCAAAGCAAGAAGACTTTGGCACTAACAGTCTCTGCAACTTTTCTGCTAGATCTCTAATCTTGAATTCTTTTAACCACATCCAAATAGAGCTTTATTTTCTATGAAATTAAGCCATTAGAAAAACAGCAGCTTTGAAATGATTATAATTGGCACAGTATAGCAATATGAGTCTCAGCTGTCAATGTTGTTAAAGGCTCAACACAGGCAAAATAGGTCCTTCTGACCTAAAAGCAGAACTTGGAAATGTGAGGAGGGTGTTTACTGCCAAGCACAGTTCTCCCTGATCCAGTTTCAAGGTCCATGGAGGGAAGCACAGTATTTACTGTCAGGTGTTCAGGATCCTGACGTTTAAATAATTAATACAGAAAACTTCAATAAATCTGAGCACCAGGCTCAGGTTTAAAGCAGAATTTCACAGCGCCAAACATAGCTGTGTGCCAGTGTGTCAAATTCATCAGAATGCATCATTAGCAACACAGGCTGAGTAGCTCCGAGCCTTTTAACACCCTGGAATCCAATTGCTGACATCACAGTTATTGCATAGTGCCAGGATTTATTGGCTCAACTATGACATGTATTTGGGGAGACAGGTAAATGCAGAGATCTATTTTCATCAATAGAATCTTTGTGTTTGAATAGATCCCCAAATGGCATGCATGTCCTAACACTTTTTTTTTCTAAGAATGAATAGAAGATGAATTTAAAAGGTAAATAAGATCGGCTGAAGAGCAATATTGCTGCTTAGGAACTTGGCAGCACAGTGTTATTGCAAACTAATTAAGAACAGAGTTTAGTGGGTCTTCTTCTGAATCTGGTTTTCCCTGGGATTGTAGACTGAGCATGCACCCTTTCTATTATAAACCCATTTCTATATCAGAATGAAGTCTGTCACGATGTACAATAATTGGATTGCCTAGAAATAATATACTCATGCCTCATACCAATTCCATGACCTTAAGTAAGTCTTTAAGTTCCTTCCAGACTCAGATTCCTTGGATATCTTTTGAAGATTGGGTAAGATAAACACATGAACTGTTGAATGGAGACCCTGGGGCATAGAAAACATCTAATAATTGCAGGTAGTTTATAATTGGCTCATTCAAAGAAAAGATGCTGCAGTTTATATTCTGGAGATGTAGAGTTCTTCATGGAAAGAATGGACCTAGGGTAATAATGAGTGCTTAGATTAG